CCTGGGCTGTGTAAGAAAAGTAGCTGAGCAAGCCAGGGAAGCAAGCCAGCAGGCAGTGTTCCTCTGTGGTTTCTGCTTCAAGTTCCTGCCTTGAGTTCCTGCCTTGGCTTTCAGCAACAATGGACTGTAATCTACAAATCAAATAAACACTTTCCTCCCCCAAGCTGGTTTTAGTCTGTGTTTTATCACAGAAACCAACAAAAGCAAAGTAGAACACAGAACATGCAAAAAATAATTTGTCTCGGTCTGTTGTTTTTGTTTTTGATTGTTTTTGTGTTGTTTTGTATTTGAAACTGGGTCTCACTGTGTAACCCCATAGCCCTGGGAAGCCTGAAACTGACTACATAGACCAAGCTGGTCTTGAACTTGTGATTGTGATGGTCCTCCTGAATGTGTATCTCCTGAGTGTAGGGATTATAGTCATGAATCATTATACCAAGCCTTGTTCAAGATTTAAAATGCAAATCATATCATGTCACACATACCAATAACCACAATTCGGTGTCTAGACCTCTTCAATATCTTTAGCTCTGTAAGGCCTTTGCTGATTGAGTTCCCATCTACTTCTCTGGGCTTATGTCACACATCTGTTCTCTGCTTCTTAAACTCCATCCTTAGGCAATTCTCACAGCATCTGGGACACTTGGCCTATGCAAATATTGTTCCCATAGCTCAAACCTCTCCCAATTATTTGTTTAGTATCTGTGTTTCCAAATAGGTAATACATTGTCATGGCTGGGACCACATCTATGCTTTATCTGTTAAAGGGCTGGCTACCGGGAAGGTGCTTCACATTTGCTGAAAGAGTGAGTGAACTGATCATAGGAGAGTACAATCTAAACATTCATACACACGATGTATGTAACTAGTATATAGACAGGGAGGTTCATTAAAAGGGATTGCTAATAAAATGCCAGGTCTACAAGATTTATTTATGTTTAATGGAAAGAACTTAGGAGGAGTTTAACTTTTAAAAGAAGCACCTTTAATTGCAGCCACTGGCACTGATATTAGTGTGTGTTGGTGGGGGCAGTATTGACTCTAGGATCCATCTAGCACATTTGGGTCACCTGGAGGTCACTGTGACCTTTGTCTGGACAGGCATGAGACTGAACTAGGCTGTCTCGGTAAGGAGGCTGGTGAAATATTTATGGAATTTTCAGAATTACTCTACAACCCTTTTTAGACCTTCTTGCCTTCATCAGTTTGTTCCTGAGATTTTATTTCCTATACTTACTTTCTTTGATAAATATCCAGTTTGACTTAGCCTTTGTATTATTTTTCTCTCACTGTGACCAAAATACACCCAACAGAAACAACGTAAGGGAGGAAAGGTTTATGTTACCTCTCTACCATCAAAGGCCCACCCCTAGTCACACATTCTACCAGCTTGGTTTTTCTTCCTGAAGATTCCACAGTCTCCCAAACTAACACCAGAGCTGGAGACCAAGCATTCAAAACACAATCCAGTGGGAGGCAATTAATATTCAAACCATAACAGTTAACGGCATCATAAAGAGGTTGATGCCACGTGTGTTTGTGTTTGTGTACTAATCACACAAACTGATGTCTGTTTTTGGTTTTTTTCTTTTACCAACCACCTGGGACCCTCTGTTAAAAGGACCCTGATGACAAATCCTGTTCTCTCTCACATCTGGCATCTTGCTTCTCACATCTGGCATCTTGCTTGTTGATCATTTCATTCCTGCCTTGCTTACAGCCCTCTCCTATAAGTCTCCTCTAATCTACCAGTGATAGCTGCTGCTCATAAGCCAAGGGTCTGCCCAGCAGGACTGCATTCTGACAGACATTGCTAAAGATATTTAATTACTTCTTGCCACAGCTTTGTCTTTTGCAGAACGGGACTAATAAGGCTGTCTTGGAGAACAGCACATTTCTGGAGGATGGCAGACTTAATGAGGTACTTTGAATTTCTTGAAAGAATAGGCCTTTGAAAACTTGGTGTTAATTTGCCCCCTTGATGTAAAATCATTATTTTGACTAAATTTTAACATTCTCAATGCTAAATGTGGTTTGGCAAATAAGTTAATTACAAATCGCATTCTGTAGAAACCTGACTTTCACTAATAACACTGAGAGACAATTAAGTGAGATACTTTTTTTTTTTTGGTCTAAAAACATTAAAACCAACACTGGGTGAAATGAGAAGACCAAAGTAGTTTTATTTATAGGGTGTGAAACAAGCAATGTTTTACCCCAGCATAGAAGTGTGTTCCCATAAGAAAGAAACAGTTTTGAAAATTAAATTTTGAAGATTTGTTGGACTAATGATATTTTGTTTACTTACTAAGATTAACACCTAAAATCAAGTGCTTAGAGATATCAGCTTTAAAAGTACTGTTAAGGGTGCTAAATATAACTGAAGCATCTTGGATAATCAAATATTAGTTTAAGTTAGCGCAACTGAATTTCATTAGTTGTAAGACATAAACACCGAGACCCACCATGCGCTGGGCGGAACCTGTAAGATCCACAGCTAACCTCAGATAACTTGACTGAGGACAACTGAGCATCCTTCTGAGGATATGTTCCCTCCCAGGTCAAGTGTGTCAAAGTGATAGCACTGAGAGGCGGGACTCTAAGAGGACACAGGGCTAATGGAGAAATGAATCTTGCTCCCTTGCCCTCCTGCCTTCCACCCTGCGCAGACACACCATTCCTTGTTTCTGGTGGAATCATGGTGACAGCACACAGAACAGCCCTCCCCAGATGCCGCCTCCTTGAACTTGAACTTCGAGTCTCTAGAGCTGAGAAAATAAATGTCTATACCTTACAATATAGCCAGTCTCTGGTATTTATTATTACTATTTTTTTTTACTATCAGAATAAATAGACCAAGATTCATCTATTTGATAGTATAGGAAAAATCCAGTCAATCACCATTAATAGCCTTGAAGTGACTAGGAAGTAGATATGGCAATTACTTAAATGAGAAAACTTTGACACGATCCACTTAATTTTCCAGCAGTGGCTCAACTATTCACTTAGTTATATACTCAATAATTATCTTTGAGCAATGTTTTTCAGGTGCTGAAGAAATGCCAAGTAAGTAAGATAGACAAGTCCCCTGCCCAAGTACAGGGCATTCTAACACCTCCCTATGTGCTGATTTCCAGGGAGGCAATAAAGGCAGTGAAGATGGTGCCTGCCTTCAGGAGCTGACAGTCAGACTAGGAAGGACCAAGGACTAGAGCGCCCCACAAACAAAAAGAAGTGGGTCTACACAGTGGTTAAGAGCATGGTTTTTGAAGTCTGTCCACCAAAGTTATCTCCTCACCCTAACACTGAATGGACGCAACTCAGCTCTGGTAATTTACTTAACCTCTCTGAACATCAGTTTTCTCTCTCTCTTTCTCTCTCTGGTGTATTCTGGAGCAGGTGGGTGTGCTCATGTGTGTAGGCACGTGTGGGGTCTAGAGGTTGACATAGTGATCTTCTTCAATCACTCGCCACCTTGCTTTTTGAGGCAGGGTCTCTCACTGAACCTGGAGCTCACTGATCTATGCTAGATGGCCAGCAAGCTTGCAGGATCTGCCTGTCTCTGCCCTTAGTACTGAGGTTACAGGTGTGTCCCACCACACCAGGTTTTTTATTTGGATGCTGAGAATCTAAAATGTTTACACATCAAGTACTCTACCCACTGAGCCATCTCTCCAGCTCCAGGCTTCTGATTCTAGGGTAGGATGATAATAACATCTTTCTCTAGGATGGTTGGGAGGGTCAAATTAGGGACACAAGTGCTCAGCAGTACCTGAAATACAGCATGAACTTCAGAGACAACACAGCATGAACTTAAGATAGAACAGAGCCCAAGAGTCATGGGAGTTCTGGAAAGGGAAGTACCCAAAGGCTGAAATCCAGAGAGACTAGAGATACAAATTCAGAAGCTAGGAACTGGAGAGATGGCTCAGTGGTTAAGAGCACTGGCTGTTCTTGCAGAGGATCCAGGTTCAATTCCCAGCACCCACATGGAAGCTAACAACCATTCATAACTCCAGTCCCAGGGGACTCTAACATCTCTGACCTCCACGGGCATTGCATGACACGAGTACACTTACATACATGCAGGAAATACAGTCATATACATAAAATAAAAATAATAAATAAAATTTTAAAAAAAGAATTCAGAAGCTAAAGAGGATACAGCCAGAGAGAGGAAAGAGGCAAAACGACTTCCACTAGGGTTAGCTGCACAAGGCAAAGAATGAAAATAGAAATAAAGCTTTTCTCCAAAGAGGAAGGGAGAAGCATGGCTTGATTTGCATTTAATAGGGAAAGCAGTAAACCAGGGCTGGAAGGGCAGGACCAGATTAGTAAGAGCCCTAAGGGCCAGAGGAAGGACTTTAGGATTCGTCACAGAAGGCAGGCGGCAGAGCTTCTCACATGGGGAAGTAAACGGCAGGATGCATGGGAAATGAACCTGGCAGTGCTCCACCAAGTGAGGAGAGCCATGGATTCAGAGGTTAGAGCTTCCACACGCCTGAAAGAAGCTAAGGACAGTAGTGGGGGCAGCACCAACCAGAGAGCCAAAGAGAATGAGGAAATCGGACTGCTTGGAAGGAAAATCACGGTTTGACTGAATGAACAAAAAGGAGACCTTCATTTAAACATCAGGGTAATTGTAAGTAGGCATTGACTATGTATTAGTCAAACGTTTTAAGTAAGAGGTGTTTTCCTTAGGCAAGGCCACTTGTATGAAGCTGCACAAAACTCTTACAGGATACTAAAGTGATAATTGATGAAGATGAAGGTTTAAAATTAGTCATGGAAGGAAAGGTGAGGCAGAGGAGCCAGTCTGCTACCAGTCCGAGAACATACTGTTTAAATAGGCAATGAGTCACTCAGGGTTTAACATCAGGGGTTTGCACATAAAAGTAAAGTCATAAGCTAATAATGATATTAATCATCTTAATTCAACCAGGAGAACAGTGGGAAATGAAGAGGCTCAAGCGTCAAAGCAAATCAAGTGGGGGGTTTTATTTAGCATCTCAAAGTAAAGGAAAAAAGTAGTTTTGACCTGGGGACCACACAGTGCTAGGAGGGGAATGTGGAGGGAAATGGAGTGTTACTGGGACGTTCTTCCTTGGGAAAAGCAGCAGTGTCCCAAACAGCAGAGAAACCACAGCAACCAGGTGCCCTCACTCCTGGGAATCAGCTGACCTGCTTTCTCAACCGTAGGCACATGGATGCACTGAACACCGCTCACATACACAGTCCAACTCAAGGCTTCCTTGCTTTTCCAGTTTCAAGTTTGTTCAGGGTTATTTCAAAGACCTTTCCAGCCTCTTTAGGTGATTTTTCTGGAATTCAAAGAAGGACCAGACATGGTGACACACACCTGAAATATGAGAACTTGGGAGGCTGAGGCAGGAGGATGTGAAGTGTGAGGTTTGGGTGGGATTATATAGCAAGCCCTTGTCACCCCCCCAAACCATCCAAAAAATAACATTTAAGTAAAAAGAAGGCTTTATAACAGAAGAGGAGAGGTCTGAGGTCTCTGGCCAGATCTAGCCCAAGGTCACTGAGAGATGGACAGTTCATTTTACCATTTTCTCTCAGAACTGAAATTGAAGTAATGGTGACTCCAAAGTCAGCTCCACTCTGCAGTTGCTTTTCTTCCTTCCTTTGTATTGCAAAATTGTGGATGACTCTACTCTGCACTTATTACAATTTATTAAATGTGGTCAGGAGGTGCTGCCAGGAAAACCACACCCATGGGAAAAGAAATAAGAAACTACAAAAACCCAAAGCCCTTGGGGATGGACAGCAGCACTGGACTCACTCTGACTACACAGGCTGTTGAGAAGACAGACACTGGATTAGGGGCAGGGAGCATCAAAAATGACAGCTACATTATAGGCAGGGGAACTCTGTGTGTGTGTGTGTGTGTGTGTGTGTGTGTGTGTGTGTGTGTGTGTAGGGGGAAACATTCTTTGTTTTTTTCCTTAAGGTTGTCTGTTTCTAGATACTGGAATTTATCCTATTTATAGTCCTAATGAAAAGAAATTCCTGAAGACCTGGATCCTAAACACAATATCTGGGAAGAAAAATGTGAAAATGAGCAAAAGTTGACAATTAGAAACATAATCTTGAGTTTGACTATCTGATTTCTATAAGAAAGCCAGTTCTGCCACAATTATATTATCATTGTTCTATAGACATTAATAAAAACAAATGGATGAAAATTATAAAAATTAGAAAAAAAATAGAAAATTGGTTTTCAAATATTTCATTTATTATTTTAATTTAATGGGTATGAGTGTTTTGTCTGAATGTATGTAAGTGCACTACCTGTGTGCAACACCTGCAGAGGCCAGAAGAGGGAGTTGACTCTCCTGGAAGTGGAATTACAGAGGTGTGTTAGCTGCTATGTAGGTGCTGGGAACTGAACCCAGGTCTGCTGGAAGAACAGCCAGTGCTCTTAACTGTTGAGCCATCTCTCCGGTCCCAAGAGAAAATTATTATTAGCTGAAGTTATATTTATCTAGAAACAGAAAAGAATCTGCTGGAAATCTATTGATAAAGAATGAGTTGGCTGAGTTAAAATAATTGAGAAATTAACAACAATAACAACATGAAACCATAGCAATGGCAAGAAATAAGATTAAATACCAGGAATCAGCTTAATTAGAACTGTGCAAGATCTACATGAGGAAAACCTGGAAACCCTCCTGAGGGATTTAGCAAATGCTCTGAACAAAGGGGAAACAAAATCATTATCAAACAAGGAAACACCGCATCGATGCCAATTCTGCCTTTGTTAATCTAAAGTGTAACACCAAACCAATAAATGACAACATTTTCTGAGTGTGTGTGGGAAGTTAGGTGGCTAAAAAAGTTGATTCAAAGTTCCTTAGGAAAAATGAATCAACAACTAGAAAAAAGCCAGAGCAAGAAGAGAATGGAATTTTAACAGACAAGAAATGTGCAGTATGCAGTGGTTACTAGTGCACATCATACAATTTTATTATTATGTATGACATAATAAAATGTACATCATATGGTTATACAGTAGTTCACACACGTACACGTACACATATAATACACAGGATAGTGATCTCCTATATCCAAAGATACAGATCAAAGGACCAAAATGAAACATAAAAATAATGTGTCTAAAACTAAGAATTCATTTCACAATAAAGATGAAATTTTAGTGGGGGAAAGAATGTACTCTTCCTTAAGTGTTATTGGGCTAATTTGTTAGCCATCTGGGAAAAAGAATTCCTGGATCATATGTTATACCTGGCAGCACTATTAATTCCAGATGGATTAAAGATTTCAATTTAACATGAGCCGCAGTTAAGAAGCCCTGGTAGGGAGAAAGAGAGGAGAAATAAATAATGCTTAGCTGGTGTGAAAAATCAGATGGAAATGTATTAGTTCAAAAGCCTACTGAAAAATTACACATACAATATCTCTACATGAGTCCATATGTATAGCTGAAGGCTATATAACAAGAAACAGTGGCAGACAGGAGAAATTTCCCTTTGAATTGTTGGCTAGGGTAGTCCAAGAGACTCCCCAAAATTACACAGACTATTGCCACAGCCCTTGATTGCCTCCCAGAATTTGAAAGTAAGACCCTATTGCTGAAGACAGAATGTACTTTGGACACAGGGATTGGAGCAATGGAGCTGGAACTGACCTTGAAGCCACCTTCCTGAGGACTAGCTCTCATAACTTTGGAGGATACTATGCAAGATGCTAAGGGAGAACATCAATCGATGGTCCAACCCCAGCTTTAAGGCCTAATAATCACAACAATGACTGGCACAGCAAATGACAGTAGTGGCACTTTTATCTTGGGGGTAATCAACAGCTACCTAATTGAACTTAAAGCCCACTCAATGGGAGGGAAGTCATGTGTGGAACTGTAAGCACAGCCAAACACACATGGTTGGAGAGGTCATAAATCTTGGAGAAAACCCTAAGACTGTCACATCCCTAAACAAATGTAATTTCTTACTATATGCTGAATATGGATCCTTATATTTACAGACAAGTATGCCAGTCATCACTCATCCTCATTAAAGCAGCTTTGTCTGCAACAGATGGAGACTATTACAGAGTTCCACAACTGGTCACACACAGAGAATAAGTGGGAAGTGACACATCTACACAGAACACAGTGGAACAAGGGATAGAGAGAACACTAATGCATCCCTCAACCCTCATCAATGAAGCTCCTTCATGCAACAGAGGGCAATGAACACAAAAGGCCACAAAGGGACAAAGTGTAGCGAGTAAGAGTCTGCAGAGTGTGGGTCCCTGCACAGGACTCCTATATTAAACTTCACCCACCTAGAGCTTAGGGACCATATGGAAGAAGGGTCAGAAAGATTGCAAGAGCCAGGGGAGGAGGTGCATGACCATATGGAAACAGAGTCTTACAGGCTCCTGGGACTTTGCTCATATCAATCTACAGCAATGATATCAGCATGCACAAGACCCATGCAAACTCAAGCAGATGAAAACCCAGCACAGAACTGGGGAAATGGGCAGCAGGCCCCAACCTGAGCTGAACTATTGGCTGCTGATTACTGCTGAGTAGGAAGAGCTGATCTTAAAGTGAGGAACTCCAGATAGGAGGGTGACTAGACCTCAGTGGATGAACTTGCACTGAGGGACACTAACTTGACTTGATAGGGCTTAACACAAATGACAGAATACATGAAATCCAGCAGGGTGGCTATGGGGGAGGTCTGGGTGGGAGAGAGGGGGTATAAAGATGATTAAGAGGTTTTGTATGAAATGCTCAAAAATTCAATAAAAATATGCATTAAAAACCCCAGAAACCCTGGTAGGAATCATGAAGAATATGTTCCATGGTTTCAGAGTTAAGAAAGTATAACCCAAGACTAGAAGCTATAATAAGAAAATGGCAACTGAAGTTGACTACAAAGAAGTATAAATTATGCATTAAAACACCACAAAGTTAAGAGATTTTAAACTAGAAAAAAATCATGTGCAGTTCATATCTGAAATAACAGATGAAATTCTGTAATATTCTAGAGTTTTGAGAAATCAAATTGTTAGCAGAAGAGGGAGGACTGTGACCAAAAAGGGAAACACCAGTGTCCCCAACAGGTGAAAAGATGCTCAACTCCAGTCAAAAAGATGGAAATGTGGTTTAAAATCCCCCCTGAGACATTTCTCAGGCTGATAAAGATTAAAAGGCTGGACAAGTCAGGCAGGAGTGAGAAACTAACACCCAGCCTTCACCGTTCCCCCAGAATCTGGACACCAGAGGTGAACATGACCTTTAAATCACTTAAGGATAATAGATGTAAAGGAGCTGGCTCTTAACAGAAAGACAAGCATGACTTTCCCATCTCTGCTCTATGTGGTATTGCCATGTTAACAGCATGAAGCCACTGGGGGGAGAGTATTTACATCACAGAAATTGGCACATGTTACACACTCACTCCACTCCCCTAAGCCAGGTGGGTGTTATGGGCACACTAGAATTCAAAATTTCAGAAATCTTGGCCAGACATGGTGGTGCATGCCTTTAATCCTAGCACTTGGGAGTCAGAAGCAGGCAGATCTCTGTGGGACTGAGGCCAGCCTGGGGTAGCCCCATGAATTCCAGGCCAGCTGTGGCAACTGAGACACCCAGTCTCAAACAAACAACAAACAAACAAATTCTGAAATCTTGGCAAGTTGATATGTTCATGGTTTATGACTTTAATTTGCAAATTTTAAAAATAATGAGTGTGACTGAACAATTTTTATATTATCTGGAATTTTGTCTTTAATTTTCAGCTGGGAGATAAGGTTGATTATACTTGGATTTGTAAGAGCTTATATCTTAACATCTTAAAGAATTAATCTTTGTTATATTCCAGTAACTACTGTATAACTTTTTGTGTAATAAACTTAATTTATATTGGAGAAAATCTAAACTTCATTTCCTTTGTGATTTTTTTTTCTGTTGCTTGTGAGCACTCCTACCCCCAGATTACCTGAAGATTGCAGTTTCTGATTTTCACATTCTCCCTCTATCTGTATGGAATTAATTTTGATCCATGCAGAACTAGAAGTATAACTTTATTTTTAACTATCAAACTTCCTAAAGTCTCTGCTTGATAACCTAAGTTTTATTGATTTGTAATGTTTTGTACTAATCAAACTTTGATTGAGATATCTGTAGAGGCCTGTGTAGTTGCAAGGCTTTTTGATGGAATAATGATATTAAATATTGATGATGGCTAACATTACATCAGATTTGTACACTAAATGCTTTGGCTATGGATTAGAAGGAGATGAGTGGAGAGGTCATAGGCTTTTATAGAAG